AATTCTTCTAATGAAGGAGTCAGGTAATTAATTTCTACCATGTACTGTTGTCTCATTAGGCACATGTGAAGATAATTCCACTCTTCATGTTATGTCACATAGCAGATAGTTATTTTAATATCCCTAAAGTGGGATATCTCACAGGTTTGGTTCTGTAATGGTGACTATAATCAATAATATCCTTAAGTACACAAATTTGAATCAGGTGAATGATTGCTATTGATCAGCCAGTTAAATGAAATTGGCATTTTTAGATACAGGGGCAGTAAACTAAAAATTGGAGGGGAAAAATGAGTCCCAAAAAAGAAAAGAGATGTTCAAACCATTGACTCGATTAAAATATTGACATTAATTAATGAAGATTTGCATTTTCAGTTTTGGTCATAATGTATTCATCATTTCATAACTATATATATATTTTTAAGAAAACGTGGAAGACTACTGCATATACTGCAACCTCGTCAACTGTGAAAAGGAAAGTGAGGATTGCACGATGGTAAGAAACATAGAATTATATGAGAAATAAATGCCATAAACTGCCTAAGGATCATGATTCTTGTAAAAAATCCACATCAGGAAACATTTTCTTCATGCTGATAGGCATACATACGTTAGGTAATGCTGACATGTGGAAGGAATAGCATGAGTGAATGAAAAGTACGTGTAACATTATAACTTCTGTGATTTCATTTCTTAATTGTTACTTATCAAAGGTACAGTGTGATTCTTGCAAGAGATGGGCACATATGCCCAGCATTACAGAAGGAACCAATCAAGACTACCTGACTGATGACAAGAAAGAGAACAACTGCAAAAAATGTGCATAGTTCACTTCTTTACCCCCCCCAAAAATTGTTTAAATGCCTCTTGTTCAAAACATAATGCAACCAAAAGACACTTTTAATGTATATACCAGGTTATAATAATGTTCTTTACTTTAAAAAATTGTTCTCTGTATTTGTGTCCATGTATATGATGAAAATTGGAAGAGTAAAGTGAAAAAATGAAAGTGGTCTCACCTTGGGCTCAGGGGCATGCTCCGTTCCCCCAAACCTTACCTCCCTTTTTCACGGATTCACACACAAAAAAGTGAAACAGCATGCCTCAATCATGCAATAGATCAATTTTGGCACATTAGCCAGGAGGAATCACACCCACACCCCCTGCTACCCCAGCACTGGGCTCCCCTCCTTTCCCCCCACTAGTGCCCTCCCCCCACCCCCCTACCACCCCAGCCCTGGGCTCTTCCTTCCCCCCCCCCACCTGCACCCTCCTGCCACCCCAGCCGTGGGTCACTGGTAATTCGCTCCCAGGGTGGGTCATTCAGCAGGAATTTTGGATGTGCACAGAACACAGACAGGATTGGTTCCCATATGGTTACAGAACTGCAGTAAAGTGGAACAATTTTCAGCTTGTGTGATTGGAGGATATCTGGATGCATATTATAAGACTGTCCTACATAAATAAGGAAAAGTTTAGGTGCCTTTATTATTCTTTTGTTCCACTCTTTCTTTCTATGGGGAATTTGCCAATGCAATATCACTGTCTTCCTTTTAAACAAA